CTTGCTCCTCTGTAGGCTTTGAATACCACTTATGTTAACTGCACACAAAATCATCCAGCATTTTATTAAAGGCAAAAGTTCCCCTTGCACATACATACTAGTCGTTTCCAGCTCTAGGGTGTTGTGGTCATCTCTGTTTCAAAGCTGAAGAGCCAGCGCTGTCCGAAGATGTCTCTATGGTCATGTGGCCAGCATGACTAAATGCCAAAGGCACACAGAACGCTGTTACCTTCCCACCAAAGTGGTCCCTATTTTTCAACTTGCATTTTTACATGCTTTCGAACTGCTAGGTTGGGAGAAGCTGGGACAAGTAATGGGAGTTCACTCCATTACATGGTGCTAGGGATTCTAACTTCCAAACTGTCAACCTTTCTGATTGACAAGCTCAGCGTCTTAGCCACTGAGCCCAGAGGTGGTATTCAGCAGGTTCTGACCAGTTCTGGAGAACCAGTAGCAGAAATTTTGAGAAGTTCAGAGAACCGGCAAATATTATATCTCTCTGGAGATTTTGCAGTATCCTTTCCCTGCTACGCCTACCAAGCCACGCCCACAGAACCAGTAGTAAAAAAAAATTGAATCTCAGAACTGGTAGTAAAAAAAATTTAATCCCACCACTGACTGAGCCACCAAATCCCTTAGCATTTTATTAAGAGTAAGCAATAGGGTTGGTTTCTTTGTTTCTTTCCTATATTAGGAATTATTTTCATATAATTGAATTTCATCATTCAGCATGAATTCAATAAAAATGTGTGGTATTCAGGTGTTGAGTTCTATGTTTAGTTATGGCACTTTTCACTTATATTAAGCATTTAAAAGTTCAGTGCAAAATAATGATAGCATCACTTGGATTTAAAAACAAACCAACAAATCCTTACATGGGTATTTAAATGAAAGGACTACTTAAACAATTCTAAGTTGACATAATGACTTGTGTGCTGTGTGTTTGGGAAAATGAACACTTAAGCCTGCTAAGAAACTGCCTCCGGTACATGGTCTGTTAAAAGCTTTGATAATGTCATCATGCAAATAATACAATTATGTAATTTGTATCAATTGGCTCATGTCTCACGCAAGTACATTAACTTGGGTCATTTGTGCAAGAATGTCATGAGGTGCCTATCATTTGCAGACATTCTTCTCACTTCTGGATGCCAATGCTTCAATCAGGTCAGAAAAATAATTTCTCCTTGTAAACTGAGCAGGTTTCAAAACTGCTGAGTTTACTTTGGGCACTGTATGTGAGTTCCATATATGCATTTTCTTTCACGTATGAGAAACAGCAATTGTTAGTTTGGGGCTTCCAGAAGTCAATGTTCTCTCGTCTGAGGAAATGGATCTGTTCTCCTGAAATTAGTTGGGTGCTCATTCCACAAGTATTCTTGCTTTCATATACTCAATTCATTTCTCCCATTGCATTAAACATGCCAGGGGGAAAAAGCCCTATTTCTGAAGAGTTAAAAGAGTGGAACATAAACCTTTCCATCCCATGATCCATTGGAAATATCAGGTAGGATAACAAACGGTTTATTAACTTAATATGGTGTAAGCTTCCATGGGTTATGACATTTTACAATATGTGTATTAAAACTTTAACTCCACACATATTGTTTCTAGAAACACATTTCCAGCATAAGGATTGGAGAATCCATGGATTGCAATTAATCAGATTAATAGATTAACAGAGTTGGAAGAGACCTTGTGGGACATTTAGTACAACCCTCTATCCAAGCAGTGAGAGGAGATGAGTTAGAGGGAGGCAACAGGCTGTTCCTAAGAGTTAGGAAGAGAGAAAAGTAGATGTAAACTGAGGTGGAAGGATTGATATCTGTATGTATCATTGAATCATGTCTCTTGTGAGAGAATGTGCAAATCTATGACAGATAACTGGGAGATATTTGGCCAATTTTTTGTCTACTGTTGCAAACTGTTAAAGTAAAGGGTTTATTTACTAAAACTGTTTTAAAGGATCACTACACATTTAGTATGAAACCAGGATATTTTGACTCTAAACTAAAAGACTCAAGGTCCATCCCATCCCTGATAGGACCTAATGGTAAAGACCGCAACGACGACACCATTAAAGCCAACATCTTTAACACATTCTTTGGCTCAGTATTTGTAAACAGCAATGGATCATGCCCAGTATTTCCTAGCCGAACCACAGAAAACTTCAATGATCTAATACATATTGATTTTACAGAAGACAATGTTGAAAAAGCACTACACAATCTAAAACCATCTCTATCTATTGGACCGGATGGAATACGTGCCTACTTCTTAAAAAAGCTATCCACTGCCATAGCCGAACCTTTAAGCACAATCTTTGAAAAATCTTTCAGGACCAGCTCCTTGCCAAAACTATGGTCACAAGCCACGATCATCCCCATCTTCAAAAAGGGAAACCCCAGCCTATTTGAAAATTACAGACTAATCTCCTTATGCTACGTCACCTGTAAAGTCATGGAATCAATTATTAACCAATCCATTATCCTCCACTTAGAGACAAACAACCTACTCTCTAATAAACAATTTGGTTTCAGAAAAAAACTATCATGTAATCTGCAACTCTTACACTGCAAAAACATATGGACTATAGAACTCGATCAGGGCAAAGCAATAGACGCAATCTACATAGACTTCTGTAAAGCCTTTGATTCAGTGGTACATGACAAACTACTCCTAAAACTAAAATCTTATGGTATCTCTGGACAATTGCATAACTGGATAGAAGCATTCCTGTCAAACAGACAACAAATGGTCAAAATTGGGAGTGTCCTATCAAATTCTGTACCTGTCAACAGTGGTGTCCCCCAAGGCAGTGTTCTAGGACCAACTCTCTTCATACTCTACATAAATGACCTCTGTGATCATAAAGAGCAACTGCGTTCTTTTCACTGATGATGTATAGCTGTTCAATACCACAGACAGTACTGCTACCCTTCAAAAAGAACTTGACTATATATCAGAATGGTCAAACAAATGGCAACTTCAAATCTCAACAAATCAATGCTCTGTCTTACATTTTGGCAAAAAAAAAAATCAGAAAATAAAATACAAGCTGAATAGTCAAGATCTTGTTGATGATCCAAGCTCTGTAAAGGACCTTGGAATACTCATCTCTAATGATCTATGTGCTAGAGCCCACTGTAACTACATAGCCAAAAAAGTGTTAAGAGTTGTTAACCTAATCCTACATAGCTTTTTCTCTGGTAATATGACACTACTAACTAGAGCATACAAAACATTTGCTAGACTAATACTTGAATACAGCTCATCAGTCTGGAACCCACATTACGTATCTGATATTAGCACAGTTGAGAAAGTGTAGAAATATTTCACAAGAAGAGTTCTCCACTCATCTATTCATTGTAGAAAACCTTATGCCACCAGACTTGAAATTCTAGACCTAGAAAACCTTGAATTACGCTGTTTTTGGTCTGATCTAAGTATGGTATATAAAATCATACATTGCAATGTCCTACCTGTCAATGAATACTTCAGCTTCAACCATAACAACACGAGCACACAATAGATACAAACTCAAGGTTAACTGCACCAAACTTGATTGCAGGAAATATGACTTCGGCAACAGAGTGGTCAATGTCTGGAATACTCTACCTGACTCTGTAGTTTCTCCCCAAACCCCCAAAACTTTAACCTTAGACTGTCTGCTATTGACCTCACCCCTTTCCTAAGAGGCCTGTAGGGGGCGTGCATAAGCGCACCAACATGCCTACCATCCCTGTCCTATTGTTTCTTATATACTGTCCCTTTTATTTTTCTTATATGTACCCATTTCATGTATTCATAACTATGTATATTTTATAAAAACAACCAAACAGCAACCAAACAGGGCAGGTATAGACTCCAATGGATAAGTTAAGGCTGCAGAAAGAACTGGTAACCAGGCTGCCTTCCATAGAAGACCTGTATATTACGGGTCAGAAGGAGAGCTGAGAAAATATCTGGAGATCCCTCACATCCTGTTCATAAACTGTTTCAACTCCTCCCCTCAGGACAGCACTACGGGGCATTGCAGGACAAAACTAAACACAGGGATAGTTTTTTCCCCCCACAGACCATCACTCTGCTGAACACCTAATTCGCATAGTGCTGTTTAATGTCTATGTGTATTTATCCACGTAGTATGGCTGTAGCATTATTATTTATCTTACTCCACCCTCTTATTATTTTATTATTATGATGATGATCATTATTCTGTTGCTTTGCATGTACACTGAGAGCTTCTGCACCGGAAACAAATTCTTTGTGTGTCACGTGGCCAAATAAAGTGTTCACTTCACTTCAAGTATTCTCTCCCTCTCTCTCTCTCTCCCCACCCCCACTCTCATTTCTGGCTCCAGGCGCCATTAGATATCTTGTTACTCATGGCAGCTATCTTAGCCAGTTGGAAATGGCAAACCATCAGAAAGTATTTTCGCTTGCACAATGCCATGTACTTCCATTGGCCATCTTGTATGGCAAGTATAAAAAGCTACAACTGAATGAAAGACTTTGTTCCTGTGGCTCAGGAGAGGTGGAGATCATTGATCACATACTCCTTTGATGTTCCTTTTACAGAGAGTGTTGGGGAAAAAACATCCTTCCAATAATTGCTAGGTATCCTGGCTGTTCCAACACTGCCTATCTCCAGTGGCTGCCTAAGAATAAACAGTCCATAACTACAGTGCAGGTGGCTAGATTCTGTGCAGCAGAACTGTGGATTCGTCGGAAATATGTGTGTAGTCCATCATAGCTATTTTATACAACAAATGTGGCAAACCCATTGCACTACTTATTCCTTTCCCTTTTAAATTTTAGCTGTTATTTATTATTTTATTCTAGAATTTTAAACTGGATATTCACTGGGTGTTTTTATTTATTCTGGTCTATGACTGTAATAAACTGGATTGATTGAATTCAAGTATTTAATAACGTCAGCATTTTTTTGTTTTTTTGTTTTAAAAGGAGACATTCCAAGATTTTATTGCAAAGTTTATTTGTGGTGAATTTACAAAACAACATGTTTCCAAATTGATAGCATAGAGTTTAAAAATAAAAAAGTAGCATTTGGTGTTCCTTCCACATCAGCTATGCAATTTTTACTTCAAAGATGGCTTTTCTGAAGACAGGTCTTCTTTCATCGAGAAGTATTAATACCCCAGACAATAAGCTGACAGATGTTATGCTTTTTCATATTGGCGAACAGCAACAATATCACCAAAGGTGAGAGTCTGCAAATTCAATGAGTACAAGCGAAGACAATTTAAAACAAAAACAGACTGTTGGGCATAATGTGCAGAGATAAATGAATCATGTGGTCTTTGACAAGACACTGAGGCAAAAGCTAGATGTTCCTGAAACATCTGAGTCTGCCCCATTGCTGCATTATTATAACAGAAGACAATTTCTCCAAACATAGCAAGCAAATGATGCAGTGCTATTTCATTTCTTCACACTTTTGCTGCATGAATAAACCTGAACTTTTCATGTCAATGTAGAGCAGTGGTGTCAAAATTGTGGCCCCTGGGCCGGATGAGTCATGTGCTGTCATGCCCATCCCCAGTTTAGCAAAGGGGGGAAGTCACGATACATCACATGACGATGTGACAATATGAGTTTGATACCCCTGATGTAGAGAAATCATGAAATAAAAAAATAAAAGTGAACACAAATTAAAGATTTTTAGCACAGGTTGGTTACAACAGATTCTTCACCTGCAGGGAGATCCAGCATTTACAATTTGTGTTCATGCTTATTCCCCACTTATGTTCAACTCTCAGCCTTGCATAACAAAGTTATATTTGCATAATATATTCTAGTCAACCAATCAGAACAGTGTTTGCTTGTTTTATATTTTAATGTGCTATATTCATAAGTCACATGTCATTCTTGCTTATTGCAGCCCTATTTATACTTGTTACAAGATTTCCCTTACAAATATCACAGTCAGAAAATCCATTAATAAATACATCACAAGATTATAAGGAATGTTACATTTTTTGAAATAATTGAATTAGCTCTAGATTGCAATAATGGATGGTTGGATAATGGAGAAAAAAGTACTTTCTAATGCAGGAATTTCTCTAGATTATGTTTCATTTTAAAAATGCCATTTCCAAACAAAACTAAAAAAAACATGACAGAGGTCATTTTAATGTCTATGGAAGCATCTCAAGAAGTCTTGTTGAGAAAGAAAAGTATTCTCTTTTTAATGTCATTTCTATAATATGAGACTCTGGGATTCCCAGTTCAGTTGCTTTAGTCTCTGTCAACATTAAAGTGATATGATTGTATTAAAATATCACTATATATTAGAGAGAATTCTCATATGACAAATATCACATTTTATAATTAACCCTAGAGCTACAGAAAGTAATAGGACTATTTTTAGAAGCTATAATTGATCAGTACTTAGGGAAAGGAGGACCCTGTCATAAGGTCTATGGCATATTAAACTCTCAGGACCATTTTTAATTTTAAGAAACTTTACTTACCATGACCATTTTATCATCTTTAATTTCCCTAACAAAGTTTGTTTCCTTGCCATCCCATCTTTGTACGTGAACCAATTTATCACCATCCATGCTCACAACAGACTGTAGAAATAGACGGAAAGTGTCATAAAAATTGCCCAAACAATTCATTCACGTTTAATAGTTAAACTTGAAAATCTTTATCTGTAGGAGAGTAAAAATACTTCAGTCTTTGAATGATGATGGACCACTAGGGGCATATGCTGCAGTAGTCTAAAAATTCTAGGTGATGTTTATTGCTGCTTGATCAAAACCTTCCAACTCAGATTAAAAGGGGTGGGATTCAACCATCAATCACAGTGCCTTTTTGAACTTTTTAAATCACCCAACAAGTGTCCCTTTAGTTTAGACCACTAGTTTCAAAGAAATGAATTCATTAGTATGATATTTTTAGCAGATCACTTATAAAAATGAACATGAAAACTAAATGAATTCCTTTCCTGTGTGCAATTGTATGCCTGTTCATATTAAAGGTGTTGTATTTAACATGCATTTCAGTTAAAAGACATGGGATTAAGTAATTATGCCTCAAATAGGAACCAAAACAGAATGAATAGAATAGAAAACAGAGTTGGAAGGGACCTTGGAGGTCTTCTAGTCTAACCCCCCTGCTCCTATATCATTTCAGACAAATGGTTGTCCAACTTCTTAAAATCTTCCAGAGTTGGAGAATTCACAACTTCTGAAGACAAGTTGTTCAAGTTGTTTTAGTGTGATTAAAAAGCCAATCTAGAACAGAAACTAGGATTGTTTTTTTCCCCCCCAGCAAATTCTGAACTTTTCAGGAATCCCAATAGAATAAGGAGTCATGGCAACAATTATGAGATTCAGAGACAAAGTGCATTTTCTCTCATGTCCTTGGGAATCTCCTGATAAGCAGAGCAGGTAGTTGGCCATTGTTAAGAGCCTCAGCAAGAAATAATAATAATAAAAAATACTACAAACATATGATCATCAAAGTATCTTCAATTACATTTTATTAATCTTTCAGTGTTTGAAAAATGTATGCTTAGCACCATAACTTAATTTGCAATAACCTTTTATAACCTTTCTCTTATTTCAGTGTAGATTACACTGAAGTTAAGTTGTAATGTTTCTTTAACAAACTCAGGGTTTGTTTAAGAGTAAAGATAGCTTTCTGCATTCAAAGTCTCTTTCCTGCCAACTCTGAAAAATAAAACAAGGCTGCTTTTATTTTTTACTTACTTTGCAATTCCTGTCATCTGCAGTAACTTCATCAAATTCTTCTCCCAGTTTGAAGCTTATTTCTGTGTTCTTGAAAGTACTCTGTGTTCGAATCGCCACTTTGTCACCTTCCTGGCTGATGATCACAGTTGGTTTGGTAACATTCCCCACTTGACGAGTAGCAAAGCCAACTCCTTTAATATATAAAATAAATTAAAAAAACACAAACATCCATTTGATGTTGTTGGGGTTCTTAAATAAGAAAGAAGCAATCTGCCTGATGTGGAAGGCACCAAACAAAAACAGCACTTGTTGCTGTTAAAATCAAGAAGAATTCTTGGTAACAAAGGTAGTAATGATATAGTTACAATTCTAAGCAGAGCTATATAGAAGACTCCAAGGTACTCAGCCAAATGTATTTCTGAATGTTTTGATAAAATAATACTATATGAATTTTATTTTTGACATAGCCCTTCTATTTCAATGAACCTGCACTTTTTCTTTGTAGAAAAAAAAACTGTTCCCTTTTCAATATTATTTTATTTCACCAAAAATGATGCAAATTATTGCTTTAGGTTATTGGTATAAGATTTATGTTTATCCAGATTTTTAATTTCTACAACCTAGATTTGTATATGGATTTATTACTGTGCTGAATACTATTTATTTCCCATATATCCTGAATGTACAAAACAGATTATACATAGATTTGGTCAAAATACTTTTTCAGTTCTCCTTCTTCCCACCCACCCAATCTATTTGCTAAAAACAGACAAGAAACAGACCCCATGCAATCAATTTTTCTTACATTGAAAGAGAAATTAGCTTTCCAATTCAGCTTTACATATTTAAAATCTAACAAGCCTATCAATTCATTGAATTTAATGGAACATTACAACAAATATTTGAAGTAAATATGCTTACAATCATGTATTTGACTAACATACATTTTTACAATATAGCTCCTCACATTTTACCTTTGTAGCCAGAATCAATTTCAGTCCAAACCATAGTTTGGCTTAACTAAGATGAGGATTAGCTCACACTAATGTAAATATTAGTATACTGTTCACTGAACCACACACACACACAATTTACATGCTTAAAAATAATTATGGTTTCAGTTCCAAGAACTGTTTAGCATGACTTTGCTCCTGTGAGTTCATTCTTTGCAGAATCCAAACTCTGTAACCTTTATACTACCCTGAAATAAATATAAGTTTAAAAAGGATCCACTTATTGATTTTATATGCTGTTGTTTCTACGTACCTAATGCTTTCATGTACTCATCAAAGTTCTGGCTGTCAATCAGCTTCCAAGTAGCACAAAATGCCTCAGCCATCTTCACTGTGGGATGGGTGAGAGAAAGGGACAAAAGCAGCTATGATGGTTTAAATCCTACACGGTTACTCCTGTTCAGCTTCCTCACTGAGGGAACATCCAATGAAACTGAAAACAATTTAAACTGTTGCCTCCTCCTGAATTTTCCCATTACTCCTTTGAGGTGGGAGGGTGTGGGGAGCGAGAACTGGTGGGAAGGTTGATATTCAGCTGATGATTGGATCAGGCCACTGGGTCAAACAGAGCTGGTTGGACTAGCCATCCTATTCAGCCTGGGAAACGTGAGGGAGAGAGAAGAAAAGGCTTTTCTGCAAACGAGAGGAATGCCAAATGATGTGAGGGTCTTTTAAGTCCTGTTTGAAAACTTGGCAAGGGATATTGCAGCCTCGGAATGGGAGCCACACAATACAATAATCAGATGCATTTCCATTGACACTCTATGGGGTAACAATTTTAAAAGAATGCTAGATGTTGTTGGAAAGGAAAGCAAAAGTTATTGGGTTTTGGACTGGACCTTTTAATGCTAGAATAAAAGAATAAATGAGCTTGTATTAGAAAACTAGTTATCCCAATCATGCTTTCTTGGTTATCCCTTTGTTATATTTAGTATATTTTGATTATCCTTCTCATATGCAGCATTTTTTTCAGGTTTTTTGAGTATTCAGTGTTTTGTCTCAAATAAGGTTCTTTTTTGAAAAAGTGGAAGCAAAATATAACTTAGTGTGAGTTCTTTATTTCCCTATTCCTGGAGTTTTTAAAAGTATTCAGAAATCTCCTTGCCTGTCCATCTTCTCCCTTGAGGGACATCAATAAAGTATAATCACTAAAACTTGTTTGTTTATAGGATCATTTACAAAGACATAGTTTTTGTCAAGGACAAGGAAGGTTGTCTTGGAATGCAATATGTCACAACAAGCAACTTGACAACATGTGAACAGAATGTTTTTTCTTCGAAGCTTTATGAAAATGTGTGATGACTTAACAAAGAGCTTTTCCTCAAATTCATTTGTAGATACTGAAATAGTGTCTAGTACAATTACATCTAGTAGTCCCTTCGGCCAAATGAAGCAAAGAGAAGTAGTGATACGTTTTTACTTAATGAACTGTCATGTAATGGATTAAATATAGCAGTGAAACATCTTTAAAAATAAAACTCCTTAATATAGCTTGACGTAGAAACAAAGGAAATAGAGGCATAAAAGAAAAGGAAGACTGAACACAGGGGGCCTAACTTGTCCTAAACAAGAATGTCCAACCATGGCAACTTTAAGACTTGTGGATTTCCAGAATTGCTGGCTGAGGAATTCTAGGAATTGAAGTCCACAGGTCTTAAAGTTGCCAAGGGTATCCAAATCAGAAGTGGTATTCAGCAGGTTCTGACCTGTTCTGGAGAACCAGTAGCAGAAATTTTGAGTAGTTCGGAGAACCGGCAAATACCACCTTTGACTGGAGTTTTTACAGTATTCTTCCCCTGCCATGCCCACCCAGCCACGCCCGCAGAACCAGTAGTAAAAAAAGAAATAAATCCCACCACTGCTTAAAATGTCTGTAAAATAATGAACTAGCAATAGCACTTAAACTTATATACTGCTTCAGAGTGCTGTACAACTCTAAGTGATTTACAGTGTCAGCATATCATCCCCAATAATCTGGGTTCTCATTTTACTGACTTCAGAAGGATGGAAGGCTGAGTCATCCTTGATCTGGTCAGGATCAAACTGCTGGCACCTTGGAGGTCTTCTAGTCCAACCCCCTGTTAAAGCAGGAGACCCTATACCATTTCACATAAGTGATTGTCCAGTCTCTTCTTAAAAACCATCAGTGATGAAGCACCTACAACAGGAGTGTCAAACTCTTGATGTATAGCAACATTTGCCCCCTTCACTATACCAGGGCTGGGCATGGCCAGCATGTTACACATCTGGTCTGCCGGCCCTGAGTTTGACATCCCTGATCTACAACTTCTGACAGCAAGCTATTCCACTGGTTAATTATCCTCACTTAGGAAATTTCTCCTTAGTTCCAAGTTTGCTTCTTTCCTGGATAGTTTCCACCCATCATTTCTTGTCTGCCTACAGGTGCTTTGGAAAACAAATGGATTCCCTCCTCCTTATGGCAACTTTCAAATACTGGAATATTGCTATCATGTCATCCCTAGTCCTTCTTTTCTCTAGACTAGCCAAACCCAAATCCTGCAACTGTTCTTCCTATGTTTTGGTCTCCATGCCTTTAATCATATTAGTTGTATTTCTTTGCATTTTTTCCAGTGTCTCAACATCTTTTTTGTAATGGGGTGACCAAAACGGCATGCAGTATTCCAGATGTGGCCTTACTAAGGCTTTATAAAATGGTACAAGTAGTTCACGTGATTTCAATTCTATGCCTTTGTTTAAACAACTGATTGTATTAGCTTTTGGGCTGCTACGGGCTGACTGATATTTAAGTGATCATCCACTAAGGTTCCATGGTCCCTCTCACAGTTACTGTTTTTGAGACAGGTTTTGCCTAATCTGTACTTGTACCTTTGTTTTTTCCTACCTAACTGTAAAATCATGCTTTTCTTCACATTACATTTCATATTGTTGGATAGGGCCCATTGTTCAAGTCTGTCAGGATCTTTTTGGATCCTGAGCTTGTCTTCTGGGGTATTGGTTATTCCTGCCATTTTAGTGTCATCTGAAAATTTGATGAATTCCCCTTCTATTCTCTAATCTAAGTCATTTATAAAGATATTAAAGAGAACCCTGTGTCATTCCACTGCTTCCTTCCTTCCATGTAGCTGTAGTATCATTAAGGACGACTCATTGAGCATGGTTGTTAGCCTGTTACAAATCCATTTGGTAGTGATGCTGTCTATCCCACATTTTTCTAGCTTTCTAAGAAGTAGGTTGTGATCTACTTTGTCAAATGTCTTGCTGAAGTGTAAATATGCTAAGCATTTCGCTGGTCTACTAATTTAGTCACTTTCTCAAAGAATGAAATAAGAATGGTTTGGCATGATCTGTTTTTAACAAACCCATGCTGGTTTTTAGTTATAACTTTATTTCTAGATGTTCACAGATCTGTTTTTTGATTGTCTTTTCTAGTATCTTCCCAGGTATTGAGTGGTCTGTAGATTCCTGGATCTGTTTTTTTTCTCTTTTTTTAAAGATGGGAATCACATCAGCTCTTTTCCAATCCTCAGGTAATTCCCCAGTGTTCCAGGATTTTTGAAAGTGATCTTTTATATATAATGCAACTCCACCTCCTCTTTTGTTAGGTATGTTTCTTTTGAATAGTTTGTGTCCTTCCATTAGTACATTCCAGTCATGAGTTTCATCCCATCATGTTTAGGTAATGGCAACTATATCATATTTACCATCATGTACTAATATTTCAAGTTCACTGTATGTTCCTTAAACTTTGAGCCTTTGTGTATAGGCATTTGAGTCCTTTATTGAACTTGGGTATGTTTCTTATATCTCCTACTTTGTATTTGGGTTTTCCATTCTTTTCATCACTCTCTGTTTCATTGTGTTTTTCCTTTTCTTCTTTTTCTTTCTCTTTACTCCCTATCTTCTTATATAAGTGGTTTTTGCTTGGAATCAGGTTCTAAAGGTCTTGAACATTGGCTCCCTTCCCTCCTCAATTTTAGTTTTAAATCCTTCTAATAAGACAAGCCAGTCATTTTCCAAATATATTTTTTCCAGTTCTTGTGAGGTTCACTCCATCCCTTGCCAGTAGCCCTTCATGTAGGTAATGCCGACCTTGGTCTAGGAAACCAAAGTTCTCTTGACAACACCAGTTTTTAAGCCAATGGTTCATTTCTAAAATCCTTGCTCCCTCATTGGATGTGCGTCGTTTGTTGGAAGAATAGATGAAAACACCACCTGACCATGTAATTCTTTAATTTTCTTCCCTAGCTTTTTGTAATCTCTTGTTATTGTTTTTAGATTCATTGCTGTGTCATTGTTCCCCACGTGTAGAAGAAAGGGGTAATAATCCACGGGGTCGATTATTTTAGTAAGTTTCTCAGTTACATCTTTGATTTTTTGCTTCAGGGAGACAACATAACTCCCTAAAATGACTGTTCGGTCTGCAGACTATAGTTTCTGTTCCCCAAAGAATTGAATCACCTATCATCACTCTTTACCTAACCTTCGTATAACACTCTGTATTGGGAATGAATTTACCACTAATGTCTAGAACAGGGGTGTCAAACTGGATTTGAGAGCTGGATTAGCATTGTAATTCTCCTTTGTAGGCTGGCAGGAGGGGATCAGAGGGGGAGATAGGAACGGATGCCTCCTTCAGCACCCTGCTAGCTAAAATGGGGGGGAGGGGTGGCAACCTCTGCATCATTTTTGGACTGAACAGCCTCCTGCAGCATTCTGCTGTCCAAAAAATAGACTGCATGGCGGCCATATGAGGCATCCCGCGGCCCGTTTTTGGCCTCCACAGCCTCCAGCAGCAGTCTGCCGGCCAAAAACAGGACATGCAGAGGCCCTTCACGCCCCTCTTGTGGCCTGTTTTCGGTTTCCCCAGACTCCAGCAGCACTCTGCTGGCCAAAACTGGCAGCACAGAGGCCTTTAGCCCCCTTGCCTAAACGGCCACACAAAGGCCTTTTAGTCCACTTGCCTAAAGTGATTACTTACTTAGGCAATCTCTCTGCTGTGTGTGTGGAGGGAGGAGGTCAGGCATAGAATAGTGCCTACTAATAACAAACCCATGGATGAAAGAGAGACTGCAAAGGTTTCAAATGAAGACATTGGTTATTACTTCAAGTTCTTTTTTCAGCGCTGTCATAACTTTGAACAGTTGCTGCATGAGGCAGTTGATTAATGAGGCCTGCCTGTATTTCATTCCACTCTGTTCACAGTCTTTCATGCCTTGGTCACCTCCAGAATTGATTCCAGTAACATGTTCTACATGGGGCTGCTGTTGAAGAGAATCCAGAAGTTTCAGCTGGTGCAAAATGTGGCAGGATGCAGTTACATGTGTCCTGAGATGGATGGATGTAGTATCTTTGCTCCATGAGCTTCATTGGTTGCCATTTTGCTTTTGGTTCCAATTCAAAGGTCTTTTTAAAACCTTTAAAGCCCTTCATG